GTAATGAGTTTACTAAAATAAAAAACATGTTAGATGTTGGATTAAATTTAAATTAATTCAAAATCCATTTAAAGTTAAATTAAACTCTGTCACTCACATGTTTGTTTTTTCCACCTCAAACAGGTTTTTCTTCATTTTGAGTTTTAATCTTTGTTATCAAAGATTAAAAGATATATTTTTTTCCAGTTTCCTGTCTTGAGCTCAAACTGCAGCAGGTTGAAAACAAATAAAGAACCTGAACGAGCTTTACAAAATAAAAGCATCAGATCTTAAAATAAACTTTGTCCAGCAGATGATCAGGATGTGAAAGTGAGAGAAAAACAGGAAGAAGAGTTCAGATTCATCATCCTTCAGCTGATCTGATGTTTGCATCAGATCCATGTTTGTTTTGGTTCCAGGACTCTGCTGACCGGGCTGGGTCATACAGGAGGGATTTCAAAATAAAAGACAGAAAGAAACTTCCTGAAGTTTCTCGAAGATGTAAGTCTGTGTCTGATGGTTTTTAAATTTAAACTTTCAAAGATTAGAGAAGTCTGAACATTTATTTAGATTAATTTGTGTTAATTTACAGTCAGATCACTGAGTTGTTTTATTTTTATTTTTTTATCTAAACGCAAATTTATAAAAGTTGATATTTTACCAGTTTAGCTTTTGGATGAAATGTTTGGCTCACATTTTAGCTTTTAGTTAATATTTACCAAGCCTTTAGCTAGTTTTGCTTTCAGCTCGCTACTTCTGATTTTTAGCTAAAATATTACTTTTCTTTAGCTTTTATGCTAGCTTTAGCTTTTATGTTAGCTTTAGCTTTTATGCTAGCTTTAGCTTTTATGCTAGCTGTAGCTTTTATGCTAGCTTTAGCTTTTATGCTAGCTTTAGCTTTTATGCTAGCTTTTTAACTTGTAAATTTAAAGGGGTGTCAGTAATAACTTTATTTATATTTTATATTTATCATCGTTCCATCCATCCATCATCCAACATCCATCCAACCACCATCCAACATCCATCCAACCATCATCCATCCAACATCCATCCAACATCCATCCATCTAGCATCCATCCATCATCCATCCATCCAACATCCATCCATCCATCATCCATCCATCCATCATCCATCCATCCATCCAACATCCATCATCCATCCATCCATCCAACATCCATCCATCCATCC